AAAGATATCAGAATCATAGCCCTTGTAAGGCTGCATACTTTAAATAGCCAGAGAATCCCTCTGTCACTGTTAGCCTCTGATATTGCTTTGATTTCTTGTGAGTAAGCTAAGAAGACAAGAACAGATTTGTTAGTATCAAAGTACAGGAATGGTGATCATGTTCATTATGATGTAAGACGTCCTTACCAGGTATGTAATAGAGCCTAATAAGGAACCATTTATGTTTGTCTCCAACTGTAACTTTAAGTACCCCAGGTATTTGTCAGAGGCATTATTGGTAATGAGACCACAGGAGTCAGTTTCTGGGTTTTCTTGTTGGTAGGTAGTTCTGTATCATCTACATTGTTTTGTTTTGATCAGCTGGTTGGATAGCCATTCTTAAGCAAAACTCTCAAGCAATTGGTACCACCTCACCTTTCCTAATTTTGAAGCAGAATGTGACAAGAATGAATCTCATACTGTGGAGCATATAATGCAGCATATATGTGTATGTATGTGCATAAATGTATAGAAGCATGGTATTTGAACTATCTGCTACTGATGCTTCCTGCTGGTTTATGCAGAAATAGCCATATGAAATAGAAATCACAATTCAATACCCTCTCAGAGAAAGACTGCTTCAGTCATGTGATAGAAGGTGAACCTTGTACAATGTGAAATCTGCTAGCTGAGCTTTGAAAAGCATTATCATTCCATTTACTTTGAAATGATGAAAATATTGCAGCATATCTGTCAAAATACAAAATAGCTGAAAATATGTTTTCCCACCATTTTTGGGTAAATATCAACCACCTGATGAGATAGTGCCACTTGGACCTCAGTTCTTTTGATTGGAGGATTGAAGAGATGGAATATACTAAAAGGGCAAGGAAAATTGGATTGATAAATTTATTTAACATTATTGTCTTGAATTTGTTTAAACAATAGTATTAATTTTATACGGAGAGAAAAGTTAAAACTTGTTGAAGTGACATACAATATTTTGTGTTGGCTCTTACTGTACTGCTTAACATAATTTAAATAAAAAGAAAATAACATTGATTTACTAATTAAGTTGCTCTCATATCATTTACAAAAATATTGTCATTTGGAATGTGAATTCCATGTGATTACTCTGCAGATTCTTATGAATTGTTTTTCAAAAAAGACTTAATTTTATTTAATTTTCAAAAGTCATTTGAAAGTAAGGTAAGTAACGAATGGGAAACGTTTCATATTTGCTGAAACAATTATGTCATTTTTATATTGTGTGTAGTTATAAAATAGTGATCTAAATTTCAGCTTGCTCTTTAGGAAAACAATTTTATTTCATGAAAGCTAGAGTTATTATTTTAAAGTATAGCAATATTTACAGATTAATTCTGACTCTACATATGGAATTATTTGGTAACTTTGAATGTTTTAGGGAAGGACTTCTGCTCTTAGATATGAGGGAGTAACAGGGTCCATATTGAGCCTTCTGCTTTACATAACAAGAAAATTAGATAAAATATACGGTGCAACTGTGTTCAGACATCAGAAAACAGGGCATGAGCTGAATGCCAGGGAAGTGAAAGAAAACAAACAAGGTAAACCTTAAAACCCCTAAGGCCATTTGCCAGGAGGCATCTTCCTGACTCTTCGACTAGAGAGAACACAAATAGTTTGTCCTCTTGCTAATTAAAATAAACAGAAGCAAACTCTGGGAAGGCCAAGGCAGCTATAATTTTTAATACAGAAGAGGAGAAAATGGTTCTATACAGAAAACTTAATAAATAATATATAGGTCTCAGAAACTTAGCATAGAAGTTCCTTGGAGTATCCAAATACCAATCTACAGGTAAATAGAGTAGAATTATGACTGCAGGTTAAGAACAATTACCAGAGAGTTGAATTTCTAGAGCTAATACAAAACCAGGAATTGGAGTTTCCACCAGCCAAATGAGAGGTTTCTGTTGAACACACAGGAATTAAATAAGGCTACTAGAAGAGTTACTCCTTAATAAGGAGGCTAAGCAGGTCCTAGAGCAGAAACTGTTCTACAAACTGCTGGCAAAGATTAAAGAGAAGCCCCCAGACTGAGCTGCAAAGAACCTGACAGCCTGCTAGAACAAAGCCCACCATACTCTGCACCTTAATGTTCTCCATGTCCATCATCTGGTAAAAATATTTTTGGACATGTAACAAAGTGGAAAATTGCAACAATATAAAGAGGAATTTGGAATTATACTAGAAGTTACATAGATGGTGGAATTAGCAATGCAAAGACATTGAAACACTGTAGGTGCATTTAAAAGGAAAAACAAATGTAATTAGAAGAAAATGAAAATAAAAATTGTAAAGTGGAATTTATGCACATAAAAAATAAAATACTTAAGGAAAAATATGTCAGTGAATGGGATTCAGTCACTGCAGAAGTAAAAATCAATGAATTTAAAAAATAACAACAGAAAAATAGCCAAATATGGTAAAGAATGGAAACAGCAAGGAGAAGACTCTTAGTAACTTGAAGGATAATGCTGAATGGAAATTTTAATATTATTTAAAATAAAAAGGCCCATTATATACAAAGAAACAAAATACTTATTACAGCAGATATTTCATCAAATACTGTAGGCTGGACAAGAAAAGGGGTGAAATCTACAAAGTTAAAAAAGAAAAAAATTAGAATAGGATTATGCTAATGTAATGGCATAAAAGGACTAAAACAACAACAAAATTGACAAATAAAAATAGTGTTTTAGAATATTAAGGTCAAATAAAGTCTTTTTGAACAAATAAAAACAATGAGAAATCAAATTTCCTATAAATACTAAAGAAAACTCTAGAAGGAGAAGAAAATTATATAAGGGAAATGTGTGTTTATACAAAAGCATTAGAAATACTAGAAATCGTGACTGTGTGGGTAATGGTAAAATACATTTGATTTTAAAATTTTATCTAAAAATAACTTTAGTGCAAAAATAACAATTCATTGTCAGTGTGAGAGAGGCTATAAGAGGCTACTTGGTTAAGTAAAATGTATTAAACCAAACTCAAAGGATGAGAGGAAAAAAAGAGTAATATTACTGTAAGTATCTCACATATACAGCTCCGTCTATTTATAGTAAAATAGTGTAGTGAATAAGTTTAGACTGTGGTAAGTTGACGGTGTATGTTGTTAGTCTTCAAGGAACCATTAAAACCAAAAAAGGTCTAGCCCACTTGACGCTATTTAGAATAATAAGGAATGCTAAGGATGAAAGAAAAAAAATCAAGAGGGACAGAAACAACACAGGACAGACAGAAACAATGAAGAGATGATTCATTTGTATCTAACCACACTGATTATTACAATCAATGTAAATGTATTAAATAATAAAATCAGAAATTGTTAGGCTGTGTGTGAAAGGAAAACCTGGTTATGTGCTGTCTGTATGACATTCACTTTTATTGACAAATAAAACAAGCAGTGTTCTGGACTTTTTGCTTTTTGTTTCTTTTCTTTTTTTGCTATAAAATTGTGAAAATGTTTGCCAAATAAATGAAAAGTGAGCAAGAGTTTAAATGGCTCACTAAGAAGCAGTTCTCCAATGATTTCTGATTGTAACTTTTCTGCTCCCAACTGTGTAATCATTTCAGTTCACCAGAGCAAGTTGGGTAGGGCCACCAGTTGTGTGTGGTTTCTTAGCCACAACTGTGCCCTTAATTTGCTCAAGCATAAAATTACTCTTGATTCATTCTTTGAGAATTATAACAAAAAAATTTTCAATTCCTCAGTTTTTATAAATTAATGTTTTAGCATACAAAAACTTTGGGGTTAACCATTACTTGCTTTTTAGGAGAAAAAAGTATATATACATATTTTGGTTTATGATGGCACATAAATTTTTTTAATTTAAAAAAATATATATAAAGGGGGAGATTAAGATGAAAGAGGACATAACAACACAGGTCAGAACAGAACAATTTAAGCAACATAGTGTTTCACCACAGGATAACCGGACATAACAGTAGTTACCATAGTGTCTCTTTTCTTGAAATATTTGAGTATACCTTGTATACTACAGTATCAAACATAATAAGACAGTGTGAAACCATTCAAGAGGGTAAAAGCAGTACAGTGTCCATCAACTGAGGAATGGATAAAAAAAGTTATGGTATTTGTATACAATGGAGTACTACTCAGCTATAAAGAATGATCACATTGAGATATTTATAAATAAATGGGCGCAGCTGGAGACCATGCTCATAAGCAAAATAAATCAAACTGACATGTATAAATACCAAATAATTTCCCTAGTGTAAGAAATGGTAAGAATACATAAAACTATGTGACAATCATGATACTCTATTATATTGTTTTGAAGCCTTCTAATGTTTTCATTCATTAGTTGGAATGGTTTTATTCTGGAGTGTTTGATTTTATTGTCTGTGATGATATGAACAGTTATTTTGAAGAAAACAAGACATTATAAATAGCTAGTGCTGATTTAATATCATCTTGTTTTGAAGTCCCATTAAGTTTTTGTTCTTCTGCTTCCATAGTTTTTATCATGTGGTATCTTATTGGATTTTATTATATGTGATAGTATAAACAAAAATTTTTATAGACAAGGAGACAATATAGAAACCATTGTTCATTTTCTGTTAGTTGGTTCTAAATACCTGTAATACTTTTACCTTCTTGAATGGCAACTGAAAAAAATATTTTTAATATCTTTAGAATAATTAATAAATATGAATGTAAGCAAGGATAAAATTAAACTTACATTGCTTTATCCTGTAAAAATAGTGTAATGAATTCACTCTCTCAAAGAAATAATTAAAATATTTAAATTCAGGAGGGAATAAATTGACATTTACATATGAACTGTAGGATAATTAAGGATATTCCAATATGCCACTTTAAGGTTCTTTAGCAGAGAAACATTTCCAAGCTTCTGTTTTTCCTGTTTTTATCAGATCTGAAGATAGGTCTTCATCTGCAATAGAAATCTGTTGGGGGAAATTATCTATAACACTAAATATCTGTGTTACAGGTCATTCGCAAAGGAGAGGTGAGCTGCTGCTGGATCTGCACAGCCTGCAAAGAGAATGAGTACGTGCAGGACGAGTTCACCTGCAAGGCCTGCGAGCTGGGATGGTGGCCCAGTGCAGACCTGACAGGTAGGAGCAGCCTCCTGGGCGCCTTGCCCTGTGGCCTCTCTAATCATTCAGAGTTGAATCCTTTGTCTTTCAAAAGGGAGGGATTAATGCAATACTCTTCAAGGTTAATTCACAGTGCAGATTTTGTAACATTAAGTTCAAACGCTGTGTCCAAACCTTAAGTTTTTTGTGACCTACTTGAAAAGCAAATTCCCTTAAGTCTAAATAAAATGGAATCGATACATAGTAAGATATTGTGGTATACAGACGTACAGTTATTTTCTGTTTTTCTTTTCTAAAATTGTTTTGCAAGGTGTTTCCAGACAATTTAAATTATACTTCCAATGGTTTTTTTTGGAAAACTTATCACATATGAGCTACTTACTAAAGTACATATAACACAGTCCTAGCCTTTATTTTGCTTAAAATCTGTCAAAGAAATGTGGAAAAATATAACTACTATGAACGTAGAAGAGTTATGCACAGGGTTACAAGTCTTGTCACACAGACTAGGAGATGAAAGGAATTCTGCAAAGAAAGTAAAATGTGAGAAAACTGAAAGTTTATAATACATTTTGGGGAGACCATGGAACAAATATGTGGGGATGTTTGGAAGTCACAAGACACTGGCAGGGACGTGGTGAGAGATGAGGCTGGATGGGACAGCGCCTGTTTCTCCAGGCTCAGCCCCTATATTGTGGCTGAGGATGATAAGGAGGTGACATCATGATACCTGTGTTCAGACTGGTGGAACTGGGGGCTGAATCGTGTATAGCTAGACAGGAAACTGAGGATCAGGAAGCTGTCACATCGTTCCCAGTGAGTCATTTCAAAGTGTGTGGACCAGTACAGCTGCATTGGAAATGAAGACAGATAATTGAATGCAAGAAGCAATTTAGTAAAATTAGTGGGACTGGAGTGGGTGGATTACATGAGTTCATAACTTTTTGAAGAACTATGTTTGCTGGGGATGTAGCTCGGTGGTATAAGCACCTGCCTGGAAGGTGCAACATCCTGAGTTTGATTTTGAAAATAAATATATTTTAAATATAAATAAGCAAGTAAATAAAATAAAGAGCCATGTTTATATGTGTAAAGTTTGTTTTTCACAGGCCATGATATAACCTCATGGATTGGTGATATCGCACATGTATGTTTCCTAAATTTTAGAGTCATGGAGTCCTGGAACTTGGTCATTGAGTTACTTACTCTGAGTAACCAAACCCCTCATCTGAAAAAGGGGAAGCCTAGGTAGGTGAGGCTGGGTGCCAATGTCATGCAACTAGTTAGAAGCAAAACATACTTTACTAGCTCCTGGTGCCATACGTCCTTAGACACTGCTGAAAATCTCTGGGGAAGTGACAGTCCTGATGGTTGTGTACTCATCCCTCGCCTTCTTCCCTTCGTTTCTCCCTTTCTTCCTTTTCTTTCTTCCCTCCCTTTCCACCCCTTCCTGTCTTTTACCATTCCATCCCATCCCTTCCCTTTTCTTTTTTTAAAATACAGAATCTCACTTTGTAAAGAAGCCTGGGATTGAACTCATTACGTAGCCGAGGCTGACCTCAAATGTGATCCTCCTGCTTCAGGCTTCTCAATGTCTTGATTACAAGCACACACCAATAAAACTAACTACTTTTTTGAAATCTAAATAGGAATATGAAGCTTAAAAATGTGGTTTATTCAAATCACATAAAATGTCTGTATAGGTGGAATCAGGTCACATAAGTATAGTTATATTTATTAAGCGGCAACACTTTGTAAAATGTTAACTCTTAGAAACAAGTTAAAAGGCATATCCAAAAACTTTTACAAATCATTTAGCACAAAGGCTCTTTTCAAAGAAAAGGAATTTAGGTTAGCATGTTTTGAAGGTACAAACTGTCCATTCATCCTTTTATCTCTAGCTAAAAGCTGCCTCTCAAATGTTCATGTGCCTGAGTACCAGGATTCCTCCACCTCCAGGGATTCCCACTCTGGTTCTGGAGCGGCCCAACAGACGCTCAGGCAGTCAGGGGCTTGTCCCACCTGTACAGAACCACTGCTCTCCTGCTCAGAGCCTGCTGCCATGAACACAACGGCTGCTTACTAAATGTTAATCTGAGAATATTAGGAAGAAAAAGGGACTCACTTAAGTTTCTTTGATGGACACAGTTGGCTAATCGGAAAATAACAGTGCGAATCCAGTGTTCCCCCAGAGGGCTCATGGCTTTCCACCATGTCATCCATCTCACATGCAATGGACTGCATCTGAAAAGTTTCTCCAATTTGTGTCTCTTCTAATCTTTATCCTGCTTCCCCTTAGATGCTTCATTTTGGCCCCTTGGGTAAGCAGGTCTTACGGAGCCCCATTGTGTTGGAGGGCTGGGGCTAACCCCATCAGCATTCCTTGCTACTTGACTAAGATTGTGGCTGGCTAGGAAAAGGCTAAAAGACAAAAGACAAAAGTGGTCCCCTTTTCAGGTCCGTCTTAGAAGCCAGAAGTCTCGGCTTTGAGGCACAAACTTATTCTTGTCATGTTTTTCACCTTTCCCAAACTTTTCCTGATGCTCTATTTTTTTTTTTCACTTGAATTAGGGTTTATCTTGTACATGAAAAAGAACTTCTATACTATTTTAAAACCTTAAAATTGAAAAAAAAAAACTTTATACAAAGGGCCTCACGTGGTGTAATAATGGAACTCCGACACAATGTTTTATTCCCTGGAGCCCTGCCACTGTGGGTGTATTATCGGCCTATGGCCAAATGATTATGTACATTGATTAGAACTCCTTAATTTGGAAAAGCATAAAATAAATTGTTCATCACTGTAAGTAGACAAATAGTAATTCAATGATCTTTTTAACGACTTAATATACTGTCATCAATCACATTTGTATGTGATTTATCATCCAAATGAAGGGAACTAGGCACCAGCTCAGACATTGCCTTTATCTCTGCCAAGCAGCTACACGTGTGTCATATATATAATATTTTACAAATATCACCCTTAGAATCTTTCAGAAATTCACATCTCATATTAATTCATAACATGTTTTAATGACACCTGTTGTTTCTGCGCCCCTTTCAGTGTCATACTTGAATGGAGGAGGACATCTCATTTGTCACTTAATGGTGCCATGTCAAGCACTGAGTGAGGAGGGTTCGTTCCACGGCTAGGTTAGTGTGTCATGGGCACAACAGTCACAGAAAGAGAAACCCGCTGTCACAGAATACCAAAAATTGGTAGAAATATACAGAAGCGTGAATGCATTGCCTTTAATTAGGTGTTTTGTTTTTGGATGGACTTTTATGAGTATATTTTAATTACAATGTGAATTCATTCTTCTCTGAGAAATGATTTTTAAAAAACTGAATGTAGAGTTTGTTCAAATAGCTGCTTTTATGTAGATTCCAAAGATTCTAGTAGTAATGATAAAAACATGTTTATAAGTCATTTAAAATTTTTCTTTAGAATACGCTATACTTTGATTGTGAAAATGAATTGGTATATTTCTTAGACGAGGTGCTTTATAAAGCTGTTAAATATCTCATGGTTTTTCTTGATAAAATGCACATTTTAATTTAGCTTTTAAATTTCACTCCTTCTTTCTTCCTTTTCTTTTCTAGTACCAGGAATCAAACTCGCAACCTCACTCTTTCCAGGAAAATGCTGTGCCACTGAACTATTTCCCTGGCCCCACACTTCATTTCTTATAATACTAAAACAGGGTTTTCTTCTATAATGATCTCTAACTTGACCATACTTTAACTTATGAACCAATGAAAATAATCCATTACTACTTAGTTCTTTTTAAAAATTAAAAAGTACAAGAAGATTTTTCAAAAAGGCAGAGTATCTTGAATCTTCTCATTAAAAGCTAGAAATGATATTGAAGAAATTAACTTCTTTTTCTCTAGCATAACAGTTGCCATGACCTTTCACTCTATTTATTCATTTGCTTAATTCCATAATTTACCACTGGCTTATACCACGCATTTGGAGAAACTGTGGATATACAGATGAACGAAGCAAGTTTATGAGGAACTTCATATGAAACTAGACATTTAAACAGTCAGTTATAAATACAATAAGAATATGTGCAAAGATATATGTCATAGGAACGTGAGGAGAAAAAGCAATTATACTTCCCTGGGAATAGGACAGTCTCCATGGCGGGGCGGGGCGGGGGGGGGGGGCATTTATGCTGAACACTGAATCATGAGCATAATTTTTATCTTGTAGATAATTGACATTAATGAAATAACACAAAGGAAGGTATTTCAACAAAGCTTTATAGATTCAGGAAGTAGTACTGTAAATGTATGAAATACCCTAACACACTTCTGGTAAAATGATAATTACCTGTCTTTATTTTTTAATTCATATAACATTTCACTTGACCTAACTGCTAAGAATTCCGATACTACATTTTAGCTTTCTTCATTACAGTTGGATCCACAGCCTCCCAACTCTCTTTCTCAACATCAGGCCAGAGTTAGTGTCACTTTCTAGCTTTACTAATTTGTAGTCTGCTTGAAGGAAACTGACTTTTCTGAGGGCTCTGAGTTCTCTGGGATAAGTGTAACCGTGGTTGGCCAACTTGGTTTTAGGGCTTCAGGTGTGGCATGCATAACTCTCATGAACGTGGTGTTAAGTAGGCTTGGGACACTTATCATGACTGGCTGAAGACAATTTCCACCCTGTCTAGGCTTCACATACTCCCAAAGAGCTAGGAGCTTTAAAAAAATATTTTATGCCCTAAAACAGGACCAAAAAATCCTCATATTTCATTTGTGAACAGTTTGAACGTTATAGATAATTCCCTCAAGATAGAAAAGCCTATATTTCTCAAATTTAGTATGTTTAAAAAAATAGTAAAGGAAAAGAAGAAATAGATGCTTTTGAAATGTAAATTGTCAGTTCTATTCTCCAGGTGATTCTGTCTGTCTTGGTCTGGGCTGACACTGAAGAATCTAGTTTACACATATCAAAAGGAACATAAGGTCTTCTCAAGGGGGAAAAAAAGCAATTGTAGCAAAGT